GTTCATCAGGGAGCATTTGAAGTTTTGCCAATTTTTAAGTAATGCTCTAGTCTGAGATCTGCGTATTATTCAACCACTTTAACCAGTCATTGGACACTTTTGAATAGTTAAAAAAATACACAAATGGTCAAGCGCTAAAAATAATATTGTTGCGAATGTTGATTATTGCATTTAGATGATGATTTAACTACATTGGACTACATTACTTCTTTGAAACCAAATTCAACCCTCGCTTTATTGGGTGGTGCTGACGTTCGAATGTAATTTTCAGCATTATGTGTTCGACATTTTTTCACTATCAATATTTCTAGGCTTGTCCTTAAAATGGTCACAAAAATCGTGACCACATACATTTAAATACAAAAATGATTTGTTTTCCATCAATTCTTATTGGCAGAAAGGTCCATCTAACCCCAATGAATAGTAAACAAAGTAGGAGTAATGGTGATATATATATATATATATATATATATATATATATATATATATATATATATATATATATATATATATATATATATATATATACAGTACACGTAATAATAAACAGAAGAGGATAACACAGTTACTAGGATACCATCTAAAAGCAAACTGCGTACTGATATGTGATGTTTCTCAATGTTTGTGAAATCCAACTTTGACATTATATATTCTTCTTCACTATTTTCACTCCTAACGCTGATTAAGCCTGTGCAATGTATGTTTCCCATATCGTGATTGAAAATTGTGGCATAACAGAGTACATAGTATAGAAACATTTCGAACATGAACACTGCTCATATATCATTTTTAAATTTCGCAGCGGACTAATTTCAACTACGATAGAGTGTACTATACTCATACAAACACTAGTATTAGAATAGCGCCTAGCACATTGTACCAATGATAATCATCTAATTGGGTTTCTAGATAAATGTGTATTGTATAATGTTTTTCAATTACTGTTTGCGATTGCCTTCCCTGTCTGTGCTGTTATGTTGCTACATTATATATCTATAAACACGCAACACAATATGTTGGCATATCACCTATGATACACCTATCAATGATACATATTTTAGCTGCGAGCAGCGTGTAATTGATGAATATAGTTATTTATGTTGATATATGCGCTAAGCTGACAGAGCATACTGAATATATTGGAAATTGAGATTCTTCAAAGCGTATACTTAAGGATGTTAAATCAGATAAAGTCCTTCATTCGTGTTTTTCTGGGTTGTGAGGCGTAATCGGGCATTGTCTCGTATTCAGATTATCCATAATTCTCTTTTTGCCTAAGCTAGATACGTGAATATTTGAGCAAATAGAGCTGTGGAGTCTTCGTAAGCCATTAAAGCACACTGGTATACTTTTATTACATTCTTATCTTTTCTCTTTTCAAATCCGATAAAATGTACCATAGTATGAGCTTTGTTTCCGCATAAGCCTTCCATGTGGTGCATGTCGACGTTATCATATAGTTGGAAAGAATTGAAAGAATGATTGTCAAATCGTCAAATTGACAAGCTGGAGTAGAAAAACTGAGTCGGTAACACTGTTAACTGTATGGACATTGAGAGATTGATTAGATGATATATTATCATACAATTTATACATGTTGCATCACATGATGTGATAACCCTGTAACTTTGACTTTTGACTTCACTCATGTAAATACACTTCAATGAAAAGTGGATATTTCTCGATGACCCGATTACATACGTGTCTATGTAACACTACCTTATTATGGGTAGATCATTTAGTAAATCCGATCTTGGAGTGTATTATTTATTATGTCATGACAAGCTGATACACGTTATGTATTATAAGTTAGTTAAATGGATGGGTGAACGCAATGTGTTACAATAAGCCGCGATGTATGTGTGCATGTGCAGCCTATGGTGAAGCGTGGTGCAGAAGCATTGCGTCACATTTTGGAACATTCACAACATACCTGCTCGGATTCAACCAACAAAAATTGCAACATAATCAGAGGTCGCACATATGATTACTGTTCGAGACATCACTAGGTGAATCACTTTTAACAGAATACAGTCTTACGATTGTTACTAATGATATTCAATTATTTATTAATTGTACAGCCTTCCAATTTATTAACTGTTCTGTATTGTCATAGGGTTTTGTTGTAGCGAAAAATACGGGTTCTCTGACATTTCGAAACGTGAGACAGTACACGCTGCACAAGTATGGTCTAAACAGCGCACTTTATTCCACGCGTAAGGGGTGAGCAGAAAATGCCTCACCCATTACAAGGGATAGTGTGATACAACCAGAACACTAGACCAATAATAATTTAGTAATAAGATTATAATATTTCCACACGGGTAAGGGGTGGGCAACAAATGCCCGACTCGTCACAAGTGGTAATGGATTACGTTGTATTGTTACAAGGAAACACCTAAATCGGAAATGTAGATAATTGTCCAACATAGAACATGCATGCATAAGAGTACAAGATAAAAATAAATATATAACATAAAACAATGGACGTAAATAATGCTAACGATCGAACACGGCAAACTTGAGGAAAATGAGTCTTTGCACGATGACGCTGCATTATCCAGCGAAAAGCTGTCCAAAGTTAGTGACTTGTGGAAGGAGAGTTGTCCAGGCGGATGCCTTTGCACCACAAACCACATCAGTGGCCAGCAGCATACGTTGGAAGGAGCATGCCATTCAAAGCCAAAGTCGGGATTGTTATTCACTGGTGAGTTTCCCCACTCGTTATCTGAAGCAGAGATATCATTAATATGCACCGTCCGCAAATCACAATACATGAATTTGTATGACAATACACAGTGCAATGTACTAGCGTTACGGGTTGGTGAACACGTGAAAATTGGTATAATTAACAGTCTGCCAGCTATGGCGTGACGATGCTCTCCAGAGTATATCCCAAACTTCCATGATGCAATCTTATATAATAGCTTACTGTAATACCCACGAGATAGGATATCCACATAATTTGGTAACATATTAATGTTTAGATCGGGTTATAACAAAGTCCTTTTCTCCAGTACTGACTAGATAATATATCTCTCCATTCTAAATCTAACACATGCCAAAAGCAATATTGTCTATCTACCGCCACCATCAGCAAAGTAAATATGATTTAATGCTGAGGATTAACGTCCGATAAACACTGGCAATTACAAATACCATGGTTCTCTAAAGGACCACACCCTGGTGGAAATAAAATCCTTATACATATTCATATTTATTTGTACTGGGTTATTAGTTCGATTTTCAAGAAGTTCTTCTAAACAATTAGTAACAATAGGATCATAGTCTGGAAAAAATTTATTGGCGAATAACTCGTGCCTCGAAGGATAAATTTGTAGGTGTCTCCATGAGAACACACACACGTCGTGATACCAGTAACCATCACACTTCACTTCACCGTTCCACAAGACATATCGAGTAAGCATCTCCGGGCTTTCGTGATTGTTTGGACCCCCAGGAGCATTCGGAAGTCTTGCTAATGTCTGAGTAAAGCTTTCGTCTGGGATATAGCTATCATTCAACCAATTTAACCAATCTTTGGATATTTTTGAATTCTGTAGAAAGAATACAAACCGCCGAGCCAAAGCAACAAACAAACTACCTTTGTGAATACGTTTTATTGCAGTTGGGCGTGGTTCAGATTTAATAAGCCACGTATTCTCTATCGACTTTTCATCTTCCACATAGACAAATTTTGCTCTCACTTCATCAACGTAGGCAGATGTTTGTATATCGTTTTTACCACCATATAATTGAAGAATTCTCACAATTTCTAAGTTTGTCTTCAACGGGAAATCCTGACCGCAAACATTTAAATAATACTTCCATGATTTGTTTTTCAATAACAACTCCTTTTGGCAGACGAGTTCGGCTCTTACGATGTTCATTGATCCCCATTTGATTGGGTAAAAAATAGGAGCTAAGACGATATTTTCAAAACACCTGGCTATTGATAAAATGATGGTCTTAAACTCACTGGATGAATTTTCGTCGATATGAATGCAATACACGTTATGATATCTATAAATAATTCTCAGTAACTGTTCAACTTGGTAAACAGACCGGTATATATAAATTCCAAATGCCAGAGGAAACTCGAGTTCTTCGTTAGTAACTGGTTTTGAGTAATACCCTCTCTTGTGCGCAAAGCTTGTACAGTTTTTAGTCAAGTGTTTGTAGTCTGAATCATTTCGAATTCTGGATGCAAGTGACTTAGCAATTGAGGTCACTTCTTTGCGATTTTCGACTCTACCGTTGATCAAGTTGGCGCAATTGATGTTGTCCATACCGTTGTTAAGAATCTTGGCGTAAGAATTGGTTTCTGTACTAGCTTGGACTGATATGGTGTTAATCATTACCGATCCTGTGTGTAATGCCTGTGATACATTGAACCTTCTCTCGTAACATTGCATACATGCTTTCGATATGGCGGTTTTGATATCCAGTTACTATCATAACTGTAGTCCCTCATATCAGGCATTGTCATATTTTGCTGCGAGCTGTTAGAATTAGATAGACGGTAGACAGCTGCTACTGACACATGTAGTAAAACCACACCGAACACCCGTTGTATTGTAACGCTCCTTGAAATGTAGCCGCGAAAAACCATATCTGTTTATAAAGTCCTATTAGATAAAGTGGAATATATCGTTAACGTTGTTGAGTGATTAAACTGTAAAATACGAATAGAGCATGTTTAAAGTATTACTTCACTTTTAAGCATTTGTGTAAATATAAGTGTGATTCAAAGCATACATATTAAATGCTCATTAAATGTTAAATGTTCATGCATTCATGTTAAATTTAATATCTAGCTTGAAGCACTGTAGTGACCAACTACATCACGTGTTTCCCTTTCACATAAAATGTCCTGAAGTCGAGAAAACCCGCAAATTACTTGATGCAAGGCGTATATTCAATTGTTAATACTGACAATGCATACGAATTTTGCATATCTCTCCTAGCTACATGCCTATATTTCGTACACTGTAAAGCACAGTGGCTTCACAAAAAAAATGGCTAGCTAGTATCTTATGATTTAGTATGTGAGTCTATATCGGTACAATTGACTTTATGGCATCGCCATTTTTGGAAATATATATAGCTGATTGACGTCAATAAAATAATTTGAAAAAAATGATTTTGTATTCGTTTCCAATGCAGCGTATGCGAGATGCGTTTGTCAGTAGTCAATGCAGATACATTCTACAAATTATACCGCGAATGTGGTAATAGAATAGTAGGAATGACGTGTAAACGTACCAAACAGCTTATAACCATAACATGTCAACGTCTTGAAACCAAGTCACCTCGATATTCCAATATCCAGTCGTTGTATATCCGTCTACCTGTAGAAATATCAGTACATAATTATAGTCAACAACAGGGTTCATCAATCCGTCGTCAATGAAACTTGTAACATATGAATGCCGCTTTTACTGATGGTGCAGTATTCCATTTCTATATGTCATTTCGACCAAAGCCAGTAATTTGACGTTTTAAGAGTTGAATTGTCTGGCGACAGATGGCTCAATTTTAAACCTGATATATTCATATTATATGTGAACATGTGTTGCTGGTACAATTATTCATAATATTTTTTTTCGAGAATTTGTATTTTCGAATTTGTAACTGAAATTTAATTTCTAGTTTGGGCAATATTTCATTTGTATGTTAATAGTTGGTCAGACCATAATCACTACAGTGATAAGTCGACTAACACATAATCACAGAATTATTACACCGAATTATAATGCTAAAACGAATTTTATTGAATACCGTAATTCGTCACCTAATTGAAAATCAATGGTTACACTGGTTTAATATTCTACTGAAAAAATATTTTCTTTCTATACATATATATATATATATATATATATATATATATATATATATATATATATATATATATATATATATATATATATATCATTTACATCATGTAGTCCTATTTAACAAACTGGGTGTAATAAATCTTGATATAAATGTTGTTCTACTACTATACTAATTGAACTATCGTAGAAGATAATGTCATATGTCACGTTGGTGGTTTTTAACTATATTTCTTTGAAAGTTATTAGGATTCTTATTAATTTGATTACGTCTGATAATTGCAGATATTGAGTAAAAAACGGTTGTGCTTCAATCATATTTTTTTACATTCAATAAAAGTAACGCCACATATACACAAGGTACTATTTTATATCTTCCTAAATTAACTTTCACAAATTATATAGAGGCCACTGATTGAATTTACTCCGAATTATGTAACCAATACCTAAATTGTAAAGACAAAATAAACATATTTCTTGATCACATGTGGGTAATTTGTCTTAATGACGATCGTTTTTGAGAAAAGCGGTAGACGATCTAAGATCGGGTATGAATATGTCACATGTATATAGCCATATTTGTAATTGCGTTTATGCATATGGGCAATTTGATTTTAATGAGTTATATTCATTGTTATCAGAATACAGTTTTTAATATAAGTTGTTGAAATAATCATATGACTAAATGTATTTATTATTATTGCGTATTAATAGCATGATTGACAATAGCATAACATATAACTAAATATTTGTTCGTCAGCGAAGACTAAACGGGTGACAAATTTTAACAATGACAGTACAATAAACAGTCAATTCAGTGGGAGAAATATGGTATTAAATTAAACTGTCATTAAGAAATGATTTTTTTTTTGTAAAAAAAAAGGTAACATAGTATCATGTTCATGTCAACGTCTCTTCGGTATCGTGTTTTAATCTTATTTAAGAGCTTAATATGTTGCTTACCTGTGTAGCTAATAAAACTGTAACCTTCAAGTAAGCTTCCGAGGATAGTGGCTTTATATGCACGACCATTGTGAAAATATATGCATTTAATTTTACTGCACCTGCAACCATGTTTCTGCTCTTGTTCAAGTCTGTTCTCGAATTAGTGTAGGATTTATAATCAGGCATATCCCCGTTGCTATTCTGTAATTTTAAACTGTTTGAAATTACCACTTACAACACCTTTGGTTATAAAATCATTATACAAACGCACAGAGGGCTGCCCAAACGTCCCCGTTTTTGGACTGTTAACATGATTAACACAAGAGTAAACATAACTAGAACTATAAATGTTATAAATACACTTGTTGATAAAAAGTGTATATCAGTGGAAGAAGGAATCGACTAATTAAATAAAGTATGCATGAATTTAGTACATCAGATCAGGTTAAACCAATTGCAGCGGAACAATGGTCATATTTGAATATCACAAATAGTATGACTGTAAAACTGACCACTGGTTCAATGAAACAAAAAAATCCATTTTTATGCAAATTTGACCAGCTTAAAAACTAATAAAAGTAATTAAGTATACGTAAGTCATTGACCAGAAGGAATTCTACGATCCTACAAGACAAATATCACTGCAAATTGTTAAATTATTATATTTCTGGGGTGACTTCTACTTCGATTTTCTGAGGAAAGAAGGAAACCGGTATTGTAAAGGTATGATGATACTGTTACTTGTTCTGAAACGTATGGTGAGTGTAATTGATGGAGCCAGCGTTGGCAGCTGTGTACATTGCCATTTGCAGCGGCCTCTATTCATGTGATTATGTGGAGGTTGTTACTGACTAAACTAAACTTCGTAGATTTACTAGAGCCATGAATTCCATACTGCATAACTTTCTTGTCGATATCCCTGAGTTACCAAATCAAAATTATATAAATGCAGAAAGTCAGAATTTAACAGAGAAATGTAGTTCAATGAGTGTTAATGTTGTATGATCATATTTTGCTTCTGCGACCATTTCGCTTATAGCATATCACATAGGGGGCACACTCTTGTTACTCTGATTTCACCGGACTGTTGTAATGGCGTTGTACTGCCAATTGGTGTAATTATGAAGTTACTGAGAATGTTGATTGATTTCTCTTTGCAAGGCCAACATTTGGTTTGACATTACGAGTAATTACTTCTACTTGTTTACTATGTCTGATACGAATAATACTTGCAAATATGTAGGAAAATGTTTCAATTATGCAACCAATCCCCATACATGCAATAACCTTGTAAGACATGTACATCTCCACATACAGTTTTTTTCCTGCGACACATAAATTAGAAAATTAAAATATTACTTGACAGAAATGATACATATTTCGTTAACGTCAGTTGTTAAAATGCACTCCATTTTTCCAAATGTTTCTTTTTTTTCCTAATAAAATAGTGATTTTTTTCTAATACAATGTCTGTCCAATACGCCAGTATTAACTTAAATAGTATATTGTTGATAGCCTCGCATAATTCGTGATACCAGTACGACTTGGATTATACCTGTTCTTCCACAACACTAGCCAACGTAAATGAGCATCTTTTATCGTTTTATTCCAGGGAGCATTTGAAAGTTTTGCTAATGTTTAAGTGAAGCTCTAGTCTGAGATTTGCGTATATTCTTCAACCACAAACCAGTCTTTGGACAATTTTAAGTAGTTAATAAAATACACAAATTGTCAAGCACTAATAATGTAATAGCGAATGGGGGTCATTGCCCTTTTTCATATTTATCAAAAACATGTGTGTTCCATACATTATTCTAACCCTCGTTGAAACTAAATTTACTATCTCTAGGCGTGTCTTTAAACGAAAATCGTGATAACAGTTATTTAAATAACACTTCAATGATTTTTATTTGAATAATTTTTTTGGCAGACTAGTTCAACTTGAATGATGCGTATCAAATCCCAATTAATGGAAAAGAACGTTTGGGTAATGACGAGAGTATTGTCAAAACATCCAGCTATATATTACATTATGTCACTATATTACTGGAAAACTTTTCATCTATATGGTTTCAGTACATGTAATAATATATAGATGGTTTCCTAGTACCCGTGATATCCTCTGGCAAGAGCAAACTGCGTGTTTTTATGTCATGTGTCTTAATCTTTGTGAAATACAATTTTGGGATCATATAATTTTCTTCACTATTTTCATCATTACCGCTAATTAGGCCTGTACCATTTATGTACCCCAAGCAATTGCAAAAACTAAAATATAAATAATATCAGTGCATCCAAGTTCAGAGAATCAAACATGAAATGGTTATACCCACATATTGAATGATATAATTGTTTACTGCCTCTTATTTCCTAATGTCAAAACAAATCGCTGAATACAGCTTGGATGCTATTAAATCCTGACCTAAATATCTCAGTGCCAGTAGTCAGGTCTTTTACCCTAAAGTTCATCTCACAAAGCCCGTTTGATCCTAAAATTTCTAGTCCAAGGCTTGATTTAAAATTTATTATGCCCGATACTCGTTTTAACCGATTCTACTGTGTGACAATGGTTAAGGTGT